GAGAGAGAGAGAGAGAGAGAGAGAGGGAGAGGGAGAGAGAGAGAGAGAGAGAGAGAGGGCTGACAGAGAGCTGCAAGCTTGGGAAAGGGCGTGCGGCCTACGCTTTCTTCCTGTCGGCATCCACTTCTGCAACTAGGAAGGTGCGGTCTGATCTGGATAACTTATGATAACCCACAATTACAAGCCCTGGTGTCTCGTGATTTTTTCAAGAGTTTTCTTTTGGGAGGTGTGGTGGATGTGTACAGCCAGTCGAAAGAGAGGGGCCGATCGATTATGTATTTTGAGAAAGAGAGCAACAAGCAGGTTGATCTCAGCACCTCTCCAGGGAGAGAGTTCAGTGCACGTCCCCATCCCGTGTTTTCACTTTTGTCGTGTGATGCCGTCGTATGACCCCGTGCCCAACAAACACAACAAACACAACAACGCAACCATCATTGCCTTTGCGCACTCTCCATTTGTGAATTGACCATATTCAGCAGAAAGTCCCGTGAGAGCGGGTTGGTTTCGACCACAGCGTTTTGCACGGCGGTCGCTGTTGCAGAGATATGGAGGGTGGCGTGCACTTCTACGCCCACCATCCCTCCACAGTCTCAACTTGCTACGTGCGTCTAGTCCATCTGCAGTCTGTGATTTTTATTTTTAGGAAGTTGCGCGGGTCTTTGGCCAAACAACAGTCACGCCGCCTCTCCTTCCCTTGGCCGAGACGCGAGAGGCTCAGAAAGCGGCTCGCTGTGATTTTATCATTTCTCGGTGCCGTGTAACAGCATGCGCTTTCTCCTGCGCCGACCGCTGCTCCTACATAGACTTTGCATCAAGTGCAAGGTAGAATTCCTCTTCTTCCCCCCTTGTTGTGCATTGTACGACTTGTTTCTTCGTCCCCCTGGAACCATGTAAAATGGAGAGTGCGTGTGTGACCCTGTTGCGGTCACCCCAACCGTCCACTGGCCACTTGCTTGCTCAAGTAGCGTACCGCGCTGCAGCCGTCAGTTCGGCACGAATCGTCCCCATGTAGACCAACCTGTCGGCGTGCTGCGGTTCCCCCCCCTCCGACTAGTCCAGGCTTGTGTGAACTCTCGATCTCCAATGGCCATGTTGGTGGCGGCATGTCTTCGCAATAGAGTAGAATGGAGAGCTCTTTTTCTATCCGATCTCCTTACCTCTCCTCTTGCCTCCTAGTCTAGTATGCATACACGAATGGTGGTATTCTCCATGCAGCAGGTAGTTTGCGCCGTCATTTTGTCACCAAAGGCAGTGAAAGAAAGCAGGAGTATCGTCGCAAGCGGTGCCTACATAGAGCATGGTTAAAAGAGCACTAGCGAGAGACTCCAGGTATGTTGGAGTATACTGCAACGAGAGGACGGAGGCATGTTCTAAGCGCCATGTTGGAGAACGGACCTGGTTTCTTGGTTCGTTCCTGACATTTTGACTATTGTGTATCCTCCCCCACCCCCACCCCCCGTGTTATCTGAAGTGTTCCCACCGAGCTAAATGGAGCGGTCTTCAAGGCCTGACCCCCTGAAGTACGTATGAATCACCACTAGCACGTTTGAAAATAGGGCGGTGATCGCCAGGCTTTGGCGTTTGAGAAGGTCACCGCGGCTGCCTGCAAGGTTTAGACGTCGGTGTAGACGTAGGTATCCGACGCTGCTGCTTCAGTTTGTGTATTTGGTATTTGTTTTTACCGCAGCAGTCATAGGGGCGCCCGAACGTTGTACGCGCCCCCGAGGGGGTACGCAGATATGCCATGCCCCCAGACCGTTTACGGGGGCTGGAAAACCTAACGCTAACCAAGCCGAGACGATGGGTGCTAGGCTGGCGCTGGTAGGATAAGTTTTATTATAAGGTTGGTGTGCCGACCGGCATTGGTTGCTAAATAGGTTGGTGTCCAGGTATGGTTGCTAGTAGGCTGTTGTTCCGCCTTGTATGATGTATCAGGTGCTGTGCATAGGTCGGCGTTGGGTGCGATGATTCTTTGCTTGGATAGGCGCTGTTCGGTTGGTTACTGACGTGGGTAGGTGCTGAGTTGGCGGCGCTTGCTTGGAAGAGGCCTGCGTCGCTCCTGGGGTTGTAAACGGTGCTCAGGCAGGTCTGTATGTTAGGCGGCACGGCGAAGACGGGGTGCGTCGTCTTTTGTTTGCGTACCCTTGGGTGTGTCCAATTATGTTTGATGATGGGCCGCGGGCGGGGCGGGTGATCATCAGCAGCGCGTTCGTCCCTGCAATGGAAACATCCTAAGAGTTCCGTTCCAGAGTTTGTTTAAACTCTCGTCGGATTAAGATCGACGACGAATGTTTTGGGAATGACCGGTATCCACCGCACGCACGTCCGAGATGCTGCACTAAATGAATACTGCTGTACATTTTTTGTCGAGGAAAGGTAGGACGGGCTACAGCAGTGAACCGCTGTTGATTCCCAAGCTGCGTGGTAGGTATACCTCCCCCCCGCTATGTTGTGCCACGAAGTGTCGGTGACCCACGCGGATATTGTTTGCTGTTTAGTCGACTTGAACCTCCCTTCATCAGTTAGCAGCGAGACCGGTGTTAATTTGTTTTGTTGCTGCTGCTGCTGTAGTTGTCGTCTGCACGCTAACAGAATAAACGTAGAATCACAGGTAGTGCCTCCGCTTCTTTCATGGATCGCTGGCTAACTTGCTCTTGACCCTTACTGTGGACAGACATTGGTCTGGTCCGTGGTGATATGTTTAGAAGAAACACAACGACGGCTATCCAGCAGTACCGCTTTGCTCTTCATGGGACAGAAAGTCCGTCGTCACAAGCTATGCAACCTAGAAGAGGGACAGATGAAAAATGTAGCCAGAATAAGGTACAAATAAAAACAGCAGACAAAACACTGGACCGGCAGAGAGATTGGAACTGGCTTTGGTGTGTGCTGCCGTTGGTCGCCAACCAGCATGGGCGCCCCTCTCAAGCTCATGTGGGGTAGTGTGCAACACGTCGGCGAACCCCACCTTGCTTGACCAACCATGAGTGTGGCGGCTTTTGGCTTGCTCCGACGTTGTTTGAGTCTGGGATGCGATTACGCTGGTGACATGCTGCTGCTGGTCGGCTTGCGTTCGGCCGGTGCTTGCGATGGCGGCGTTTTGGTCGTCGTGGCTGTAGACAGCGCCGCGTATCTGCCGTGGAGACGTGAGATTTTCATCGGATGTATGTCTGGTATAACCGCTAAGGCATGCAATACATCGAGAGTACGCCCCCCCCCCCCCCCCCCCCCCCCCCCCCCCCCCCCCCCCCCCCCCCCCCCCCCCCCCCCCC